AGAGAGAGAGAGAGAGAGAGAGATGGGGGTCAGAGGTCAACCTTGGGTGTTGTTCCTCAGGAGCCTCTGCTTTCTTTTGTGATATCAGATCTCCCACTGACCTGGAGCTCACGTTTTAGGCTTGGCTGGCTGAGCAGTAAGGCCTAGGGATCCACTTGTCTCTTCCCCCTTAGTGCTGGGGTTACAAGAATGCTCCACCAAGTCCAGTTTTTTTTTTTTGTTTGTTTTTTTTAAACATGGATTCTGGGGATTGAACTGAAGTCCTGGCATGCAACCCTTCTCACATATCTTGATGGAGTTCTCACCTTGAGTTTCTCAGAAAACAGAGCCAGAGCCAGAGGTTTATGTTTATTATGTGGTGGGGAATAAAATCCCAGGAAGCAGGACCAAGAGGAGTAATGAAGGGAAAGAAAGCCAGTGTAAGGACGCCTTGCCATCCTGGTCTCCACAGAGTATAGCATTCTGGAAGGTGGTAGAAGCTAAGTCATTTAGGCCTGCATTTCAGGGGAAAAGGGGATGATTGATCCACTAGCTCCTGTCCCTAGGGGTTTTATTTAATTCCTTTGTCCTTCCAGGTTCCGTGTGCTGGGTTTTGGGAACCTCAGCAAGGAAACCTCAGAATAGGAGGCAAGACACAGTTATGTTGCCAAAACATATGCAGGGCTGGCACAAGGAGATAGGCCTAAGAACCTGTGTTGGAGCCACAGGAATGCTTGAGTTGGACTGTGGAATATTCTTTTTGGGTGAATGAGGATTCTTTTCTCCAGGGATGACAGTACAATAACAATGACATCTATCTTCAAATATTTATTTTTCTTTTCTTTTCTTTTCTTTTTTTTTTTTTTTTTTTTTTTTGACACAGGGTCTCCCTGTAGCCCCTGCTGGCTTGGAACTGGCTGTGTAGACCAGGCTGGCCTTGAACTCACAGAGATCCACCTGCCTCTGCCTCCCGAGTGCTGGGATTAAAGGAGTGAGACACTACTCCCAGCTTATTTTTCTTTTTTGATGTTATTGTAAATAAAATTGTTTTCTTTCACTTTGAATCATTCAACCTTGTGTCCTGTAAAGTTGCCGAACTCTTTTCTTATCCTTAGTAGTTTTTAAAAAAATGTTTGAATTTCTTAGGGCTGTCTATATATAAAGACCATGTCATTTGTAAATAGACATAAGCTTTAATTATCTTTTGGAAATTTGGTTTTAATGAAACAAAAAGGCGGGCTTTCCCAGGCCATTCTGAAAACTTAAGTGGTTGGCTGGCCAGGTTCTTTGGAAACTATGATTTTAGGGAACTAATGTGTTTTCTGCATTGCCAGATTTATTACATAGAATAGAAGATTATTTAAAAGAAGCAGAACTCAGAGAAGTCATGGCTACTTTTCCTCGCTCTGTTTTTGTCCTTTTGACAGGGTCTTACTATGTAGTCCTGGTTGTCCTAGAACTCATTATGTAGCCTTGAACTCACAGAGATCTATCTGCCTACCTCTCTCCCCTGTTCTGGGACTAAAGGTGGGGCAGAACAGGACTGCCATAGCTTCTGCTAAAGGAGTCCCAGGGTTACTGGGGATTCTATGGAGAATTTGTTTGGTTAATTGAAAGCTCCTCCTGAGGAATCATCGTGTATAGTGACACGAGTCATTCCTTGTTGGGAACAGCAGTCACTTGAATGAGTACACCACCACCCAGGTGGGATGGGGAGCTGATCCAATCAGAACTCAGCTCTGGGCCTTGCTCCCCCACCTAAGTGGACTGTCAATGGCATCCATTGGCCCCTCACGTCAATCACAAGCTGGGGATCTTATCCATCCTCGAGCAGGAATCTTTTCCTTTTCTTCCCAGTGAGGCAGTGGGCCAGGTCCATTCATGAAGAATGGTCTGGAACAGCTTGAATTGCCCAGTTCTCATCTGAATCAGAGCAGGAATGGTGACCAACAGAGATGCCAGCTGGCCAGATGAACTGATCTCCACTAGAGTTTTTCCAGAGCCCATTGATGCAGTTCATGAGTTAGTTCTTGTTTTCTGTTCTAGAAATAATGACAGAAATCAATGATGTGTCTGTGTTTAATAATACCTGTGTGAGGTGGCAAATAAGTCCAGAAAGAATAACCTCCAAGGTGGGATATGTGGTAAGTGAGCTACTTCTAACTACTAGTATGAAATGGAAACTGGAAATGGGTGAGAAGGACTTGTTCCATAGGTGCTTCTCAGCCAATCTCCCTCTCTTCCTCCCTCCTTCCCTCCTTCCCTTGCTTCCTCCTCTTTCTTCCCCCTTCCCTCTCTCCCTTTTCCTTCCTTCCATCCATCCATCCATCCATCCATCCTTCCATCCTTCCTCCCTCCCTCCCTCTCTTGCTTCCTTCCTCCCCTCTTCCCTCCCTCCCTCCCTTACTTTTTCCTTCCTTCCTTCCTTCCTTCCTCCCTTCCTCCTTCTCTCCTTCCCTCCCTTTCTTCCTCTTTCCCTCTCTCCCTCCAAGGTCCATATTTATTGCAAATGTATTGAGATACTGATATTTCTATTTACAAAACAGCAAAATTAATCACTTGGTGTGCTATCTTAATATTCAAGTCTAGATGAACCTCCTTCATTTTGTAAATTTTTTTTTTTTTTTGGTCTTTTTGAGACAGGGTCTCCCTGTAGGCACAGGTGGCCTGGATTTGCTGTGGAGAGCAGGCTGGCTTCGAACTCACAGAGATCCACCTGCTTCTGCCTCCTGAGTGCTGGGACTAAAGGCATGTGCTACCATGCCTGGCTCTCATTTTGTAAATGTTTAAACTTCCTTAAACAAAGATTCTTGAAAACACATACGGCATGTTTCAGTTAGAGCCAACACAAAAGCTAAGACAAGACCACAAATACAAAAACCAAGTTTAGAAGATACTTTTAACTTCCCTTCATTAGACAGCAGAGATTTTTTTTCTTTAACAGGTCTTATATGCTATTATCATACAAGTAACCATGTAGCTAAAACAAGCATAACATAATTCCATAATTAAAAGAATAAGCAAATCATACTGCTTTAAGTTATCTGCCAACTCTATGGTTTAAATGAGAATTAGGAAAATCTGTTTCCCAATTCTATTGCCATTTTAAAAGAGTGAATAGAAACTGGGCATGCTGTTGCACACCTTTAGACCTAGCACTCAGGAGGCAGAGGCAGGTGGATCTCTGAGTTTGAGGCCAAAAAAAAAAAGGTGAGCCAGGCATGATGGCACATATCTTAATCCCAGCACTCAGGAGGCAGTGGCACAGCTCTGTGAGTTCCAGGCCAGCCTGGTCTACATTGTGAGTTCCAGGCCAGCTGTGGTTACAGGAGCCCTCCCTTTCTCAAAAAGACCGGAAAAAAAAGTGAATAGAATTTTTAAGATATATGGATTATTTTATGTCTAACCTATTTGTTATTCAACAGCATTTGTATGTGGAACGTGCATTCACGTTTGGCATCCTCGTCTTTTGGTGTCCTCATCATTGCTTGTTTCCAAGTACTCCCCCAGGGCAAGCCTGCAAGCGCATGCTGACTACAGAATAGAATGTCCTTTTACTGTGGATCATTTGTGGTCAGGAGAGGACTCCCAAATAGAGTTCTCATCAAGTTATGGCTTAGGGTTCATTGGGTCCTGGGCTAATCAGACCTTGTCCTCAGATCCCTCATGGCAGGGTTGACCCTGCCTCTCTTTTCTGGCTAAGCAGGGCAGGATAAGATGGAATGGCCAAAGAGAGCCCAGCACCACAAAACTTAGCCGTTCTGACTGGAGTCAAGGTGGATTCTCTTGTCTTTCCTCTTCCAAAGATACACATCAAAAGACAACAGCTGGACCCTGTGGAATCAGTGCATGAGGAGACAGTCAATGTGAGCACAGACAGCAGGACCCCAGAGGTGTGCCTCCCCCTGAACCGAGGTGCCAACTACACCGTGAGCATTTCTGCAGCCCCTCCCAGGCGCTCTGTGCCCACCATCCTTGGTTTCCAGACAGCTGGTAGGTGGAGGGCAAGTCCCATTTCCTCCTGGAGAAAGAAAGCTGAGCACAGGATATGGGGAACCCGCAGCAGCATCAGTAGGGCAGCAGAGTTCCAAGAGGGGGATCAGAACCAGAGGAGGTGTAGCAGGGTAGATACTCTTTTTGTTCTTTGTTTGTTTGGTTTTTTTGGTGACAGAGTCTCCCTGTAGCCCCAACTGGCCTGGAACTCACTATATGGACCAGACTGGCCCCAAACTCACAGAGATCCGCCTGTGTCTGCTTCCCGAGTGCTGGGATTAAAGGCATACACCACCATGTCTGGCGAAGGGTAGATTCTCGATCTGTTGGCATCAGCTGGATGGCACTGGTGATTGTTTCTCGACTAAATCCTTGGGTAGATGCAGGTGATAACAGGCCTTTGAAACAATAGCACACTAGCTGATGATGTACTGGACTCCAGGTATCCAAGCAGTAGGGGGTAGCACAGAGTGTAACTTTGATAGTAAGTCCAGCTGTCATTTCTTGCCCTTGCTTGTGAAAGAGTGGGAGCCAGGGAGGCTGACCCTGTAGCTTCCTGTTTAGGATGTGCTGGTCTGGCTAGGGAGTCAGGTCAAGAGTGGACTAGTAGAAAGCAGGAGGCAACCCCAGGATGCAAGAGGTTCCATATTGGTTGAATGGGGAAGTGGACCCAAAGGAGCTTCAAGAAGCAGGAGTAGGGACTGGAGAGAGGGCTCAGTTGGTAGAGTGCTGGCCACATAGCATAAGGACCTGAGTTTGGATCTCTAGCACCCATGTCAAAAGCCCTGAATGATGTAATTTGGGCACTGGGAGGCAGAGATAAGGATCTCTGGGGTGTGCTACCGTTGAGTCTAGTTAAATCAGTGAGCTCCATGTTCAGTGAGACCCTGACTCAAAACATAAGTGACTAAGGAAGACACCCGACATAAATCTCTGGCTCACATGCATGTGCAACCCACATACATATGTGGAAATAAACATACACCACACAGACACACACACACAGACACACAGACACACACACACAGACACACACACACACACACAGTAGGAATAAACTTCACTGCACGTCATCATAGGGATTTTTAAAACATGGTGACACAATTATAGTAAGCTGAAGGCCCTCATGTTTGTGCAGAAAGCTCTTTGCCAACTGAACATCTCTCTTGCTCAAGTTCTTTCTAAAGAAGAGACTTCATATTTAATAATGCTTTATAGTAAACCTGGAGTAGCCATTGGTGTCATTTATTATTTTAGAGGAGTTGATTTGTAATTAGCAACAGATATTGCTCTCACCATGTACTGGGAGGTGACAGCCAATGACCAGATAGAAATAATAAAAAAAACCCTGCCAATTTTAACAGTGAAAAACCAACTATGGAATTATAAAAATTAGGCCTCTTGGTACTTTTTATGAATAAAAAATTATTTCACTTCAGGTATATAAAATGAAGAGAAGATAAGAAATTAATACCGTAGCCTGATTAATAAACTACCTTGCACTTATAGGGGTATGTGTTTTCTTTAAGAGGTCATCACAGGACTTCAAACTCATCTGTTATCGAGTCAGTGACAGCTTACTATTGTTTTGGGCTAGTTGTTCATAGAATATCTGATTACCCCTCAGGTGACTTTTCTGATTACGCCTCGGTAAAATTCGGTCTTTAGAATCAGGTAGATCTGGTTTTATACCTTTTCTTGTTTGTTTATTCTGTTTTGGTTCTTTTGAGACACTGTCCCACTTGGCTGGAACTTGCTATGTAGACCAGGATGGCCTCAAACTCACAAATACCTGCCTGCCTCTACCTCCTAAGTGCTGGGATTAAAGGTGTGTGTCACCAGGCTTGGCATTGTTTTGTATAGCTCTGTGAGTATTAAAGTATGGGAGATACAGGAAAGGACATCTGTATTTAAGGATATTTGTATTTTCAAGATACAATGAAAGCAGACAAAATGTACCGTTAAGTGACTTCATCTTAATTGATGCCATTTATTAGAGTTTCTAGATTTCTGGAGTTTGGGATCCAAACTGAAATAAATTTTAATTTACTTGAAAAAAATAGTATTGGGCATGACTGCAGCTGGGTGTTCAGTGTCTCTCCTCTGCTTTCCTTTGTTGGAATTTTTAGGTGGAATTGGATTACATTTACAAGTTAATCTAGTGAGGATTAGGGTTTATGTAGCATCATCACAGCCGGGAGTAGAGCTTCTGCCTTTTCTCCAATCCTTGTGCTGTTCATGTACTGCTGCCGATCTGTCATTCTGTCATCCAAGAATCTGGACTTCCTGTTTGATTTCACTATTAGGGTGATGCTGGCTCCCTTAAGATAAAATGTGAAGCTGTGCTGGGCATGGTGGCTCATGCCTTTAATCCCAGCACTTGGGAGGCAGAGGCAGGTGGATCTCTGTGAGTTCAAAGCCAGCCAGAGCTACAGGGAGACCCTGTCTCAAAAAGACAGAAAAAAAAAAAAAAAAGCGAAGGTGTACAAACATACATGTGCACACACACATGCCCACACCTACATACTGCACACACACAGACCACATGCCCCCCCCCCTGCTCTGGAGAGGTCTGTATTGTTTTGGAATTGCCCCCTTCTTTCATAATTAGGCAAATTTGCTCATAGGATCATTTCAACTTAATCTCTTTAGGAAATTGATTTGTTGACCCTTCATCAATTTCTTCCATGATTTTTTTTGTCAGTTTATATTTTCTTTTTTATAAAAAACTGTGACTCTGTGTGTGTGTGTGTGTGTGTGTGTGTGTGTTTACATGTGTGTGTGCGTGTACATGCACTCCACCGGCTTGTATGTGCACATGTGGAAGCCAGAGGTCACCTTTGGGTAGCTTTCTCCATTGCTCTCCACGTTATTTGGAGGGCATTTTCTCTCACTGGACCTGGAGTTTGCCATTTGAGCTAGACTGGATGGCCAGCGTCCCCAGGATTCACTTGTCTTCAGCCCCCAGCAGTGGGGTTACAGACATGTACCACCATGCCTGGCTTTTACATGGTCTCTGGGAATCTGAACTTAGGTCCTCTTGCTTGTGCAGCAGGCACTTTACCCACTGAGCATCTCTCCAACCCCTCTAGAGTTCTTAAGTCAATATGTGAAATTTATATTTTCCTTTAAAATATAATTTTTGGGGGGATTTTAAAATATCTTGGTACAATGTCATATGGATTATTTGTTTATAATTCCTTTGGGGATGTAGGCTGTATAACCCCATGTTATTTTGATTTCATAGTTTTTTTTTCTTTTTCTTTTAAAACAACTGATGAACTTAGGTTATCTGTTTTATTATTATTCTCTTTTCCCAGAGAACAGACTCAGGTTCTTAAACCGTGTTTTCCTTTTTCTAGCTCATTAATTTGTCTTCTTATTTTTGTTGTCCTAGCAAGGAGAGGTGGGGGGACACTAGAGCACACTGCAGCTTTGATTTCTAATCAATGACAACTCCCTGTCTGGGTTTTCTTTTCTTTTTTTTTTTTTTTTACTTTTTTTTTTTTTTTTTTTTTTTTTGCATTTATAAAATTTTGGGGTTTTTGTTTGTTTTTGAAACAGGATCTCATGTGCCCAGACTATCCTCAAGCTCGCTATGTAGGAGAGGCTGGCCTTGAACTCCTGATCTTCCTGCCTCACTTCACAAGTGCTGGGATTATAGATGTGCTATTGTGCCATTGCATTTTTAGGTCTTTGAGTTGAATGCACAACTCAGCTTATTCCCACTTTTTCCTATTTAATAATGAAAATCCTTAATGCTTCCTTCTCCCTTGTGGATTTGAGCTTTGGCAGAATCTCTGAGACATTGACAGATACTCTCTTCACCTTTGCTTTCAAGGCATGACATAAGTGCTATGCTGATTTTCCTTTGGGTTGAATAGTTAAAAAGTGTATTAATATATGTTCTCTTTGTCCTTATTTTTATAAATTATACAATTGCTATTCTGATTTTCCCTTTAAAGACTTAATTATATCACATGGATCTGGAGAGATGCTTCAGCAGTTAAGGGCACTGGCTGCTCTTGCAGAGGACCCTGGTTTGGTTCCCAGCACCCACATGGGAGCTAACAACCATCCATAGCTCCAGTTCCAGGGGATCCAACGCCCTCCTCTGGCCTCCTCTGGGCATTGCACACATGTGGTGCACTTGCATACATGCAGGCAAAACACTCCTGCACATAAAATAAAAGTAAATAAATCTTTTAAAAAAAGATGAAAAATAACTGTATCACACAACTAGTGATGGATATGTATATATTTAAATTAGTATACAGAGTAACTGGTTTCTGTATGGTATTTTAAAAAATATTTTATTGCCTGCATGTAAGTAAGTGCACCCATGTCGTGCAAAGCAGCGGAGGTCAGAAGAGGGCTTCGGATTCCCCTGGAACTGGAGTTAAGGACGGTTCGTAGCTGCCATGTGGGTGCTGGGAATCAAACCCGGGTACTCTGCAAGAGCAGTCAGTGCTCTTACCTGCTGAGCCATCTCTCCAGCCCCTCTGTATGGTACTTTTACATTTTAACATACTTTGATGACTTATTGACATTTTCATGGACCTTATTACTTGGTTTAGTTTTTTTCCTTTCAGTAGATGACGGATGATAAGGCAGAGTGTTTGGATGTAATGGACTAAGATCTGGGTAAAGACGACTTTATTAGATTAGCCAGGACTTCTGGTTTTATTTGCTTTTTGTTTTCCTCACTGGGAGTGCAGTTTTTTCTCCCCAATTTCTAGTTGGTTTGTCTTGCATGTACTGAAGTTAAAATTGTCATGTTCACGACACAACTGTAGATTCTTTCACTAATAGCATATGGTTCCATTTATATTGATTAATATTGTTCTTCTTAAATTATACTTTGAAGACAATACTGATTTTCTTGATTTCTCTGTGCTTGCTTTTGCATAATACACGATTTCCTCCTGTTCTCAAAAGCTGTCTGGATGGGGCTGCTGTAGTACACTAGGAGATAGCAGATGCAGACTCAGTCTGGAAAAAAGGTTTATACAAGTGGTCAGACTTACATTATTGTTGCTTGGGTTATGCTTTTCCCTTTCTTCTGACGTATTTTATTATTTTTTTCATGACACCTTCCTATGTCTGTTATTTCCTTTCCTTTGTTTTTTCTCTCTGGCTCCACAGACTTCTTTTTCAGTGAATCAGACAGTACGGATTGTGTTTCTATTCTCCAGCTGACCGCATTTTAAAGAGAACCTGTTTGGGTGTAGTTCTCTGATTACGAGGGTTAAGACTGAAATAGTGCTAGCTTCTCCCTGAATAAGATAAGAGAGGCAGCGTTTGCTTGCTTTTGTTTCTACCCTCTTTCTTTCCTTGTGCTGTTGGTTTAATGTGGAGCTTCGTTTTCTGCCTTGTTTTATATTGATTTGCAGCAGGTATTTAGCCTTAGGTGTGTGTTGTGACAGGTACAGTACTTACTGCCAGGCTTTCTATGCTCTATTTTCATTGACCTGTCTCCATGATGCTATCTCTTTTTCTCACTGAGGAAGTGGGGTACTTTCTGAGCCCACAATTATCTGAGAATGTCCTTTTGTTGCCTTCCCATGTGAGAGTTTGAGTAGACATAAATTCTTACTGTTAGAATTCTATAAACAGCTCACATTGGCTTCAGGATTTAAAGTTTTAAAGGAGGATTTGGAAGGTGTGACTTTCTGTCATTTCCATTGTTGTTTTTGGGGAGGAGTTGCTGAGGATTAAACCTTGTGCCTTGTGCCTGATAACCACATGCTCTACCACTGAGCTATAGTCAAACCTCCTAGTCTTTAAAATGTTTAAATATCTTTATTAAACATTAAAAAAAATTTTTTTTTGGTCTTTTTGAAGCAGGGTCTTCCTGTAGCCCCAACTGTCCTAGAATTCACTATATAGACCAGGCTGGACTTGAACTCACAGAGATCCGCCTGCCTCTGCCTCCTGAGTGCTGGGATTAAAGGTGTGCACCACCAGGCCTGGCTTAAAATATTTTTTAAAATTAAAAAATTTTTTATTTTCTATGTATGTTTTGCCTGCATGTATGTAACTGCATCATATGCATGTAGTGTACATGGAGGCCAGAACAGGGTGTTGGATCTCCTGGAACTGGAGTTACAGGTGATTGTTAGCCATCATGTAGGTGTGGGAACTGAACCTGGGTCCACTGTAAGAGTAGCCAGTGCTCTTAACCTTTGAGCTATCTCTCTAGTGCCTCTCACTTTAAATCCTGTATGGGAAAACTGATTTTCAGATTGGGTATAAAAAAAGCTCCCTTTAGCAGTAAAATTTAAGCTATTAATCATTAATATATATTAATATACCTGGTAAATGTTGACTGACAACATAGTAAGTGCTTGACATAGTTGCAGTGCCAAGAGTTCAATACACACACACACACACACACACACACACACACACACACGAAGAGATGGGAGGGCAGAGAGACAGAGAGACAGAGAGAGAGAGACAGAGAAAGAGAAAGAGAGACAGACAGACAGACACACAGAACTATTCTCATATACCATCTGTGTGTGTGGGGGTGTTATATTAAATGCTATGTGCTTGCTGAGTCTTCTGAGTACCCTTGGAAACGTTGGCCTGTAAAGTTTGGTTGCTCACACATTAGAAACAATTATTTTCACCAAATCTTCCATTTTTGTTTTTTAAAAAATTATTTATTTATTTGTTTGTTTGTTTATTTTACGTGTATGACTCTCATGCCTGCATGTGTGTAAGTGCACCCATGTCACACAGTACCCTCAGAGAACAGAAGAAAGTGTCAGATCCCCTGGAACTGAAGTTATAGAAGTTGTTAGATGCCATGTGGGTACTGGGATTTGAACCTAGATCTTTTGCAAGAATGCTTAGTGCTCTTAACCACTAAGCTATCTCTCCATTCCCCTGATAACAATTTTAGATCTAATACTCATTTTGGT